GTGTGTGTATGTGCGTGTTTACGTGTGTTTGTTGAAGTGTGTGGGTGTGTGGGTGTGTGTGTAACGTTATCAGGCTTTTCTAGAGCAGATCGCCAGCCACCAACAACCATCCAGGCTTAGGCTTCGGGAAGCCCCTTTAACTCCTGTCACCATACAGACTGACAGCGTTGTTCTTCCGCTGTTCTTATAGCAGCAAGACTCTTTGTATCTCAACTTCAACAGACCATCATCAAAATTCAGCACAACTCACTCAAGGCGCAGGAAAGGTAGAAGGTACAGGCTGACACGCATAGGCACAATGTCAAATATTCAGTTGGGGCACGTTGCCTCTTCTTCAGGGCACAAGCTAAGGGCACAAGCAAAGGGCACAAGGAAATTTCCCCCTTGGATTCATTGGGCCTTTTACAGTCAAGGAGCAGCTAGGCAAGGTCATTGTGCGATTGCAGTTGCATTTAAGCGATCGAATTCATCCAGTCTTCCATGTGTCTATTCTTAGGCTGCATCATAAATCCGAGCACACTGTCACACCCCCACTGCCCCTGTGCAAGTTAATGCTGATGGTGTTCCTGTCTGTGAGGTTAAAGAGGTGCTGGCGCATAAACCGCTGAAGCAGAATAGGCAGAACACATGGCAGTTTCTGATGCAATACAAAGGCTATGGCCATGAACAAAATTCACGGGAACCATACGTAAACATAGCCAGCCCGAATATCACATTGCAACCATACTGGTATTCTCTGAAAGGCATTCAAAAGTGTCCTGAACGTGGACTCAAATGCAAGGCTCCTCAGGCAATTGTGCGTCCAAAGGCAACAGCGTTGAGCTCTGCTCATGAGCAAGGCTAAGCATGCAGGCAGGCACGGAGATCACCATTTGTGCATCCCTCATGCATGCGTAGGCAACGCGCAGCTGTAAAATTGTGCAAGCTTTCCAGGCATAGACAGACTGAACGCACGTGAAAAGGCAATTTTAGGCTAGAATTTTTCCAAACATTCAGGCTTCTCAGGCAATAACTGGCATTCACAAGGCTTGAGGCTTTTTCTGGAATTCAGACAGCTGTTGGTTGGAAGTCACTTTGAGTGTATTCACGCACCTCAGAATTCTGGAATTTTTGTTAAACCAGATTCTTATGGCCGGGACGCCCATAAACAGGCAGTAGGGAATATAACAATATCAGGCTTTTCGAATACTTCCCACTGTCAGGTTCTAGAGACAGGTGCTTCTAGTAACCCTCCAGATCCACATTAGCATTCTCTTTTTCATACCTTGTGGTGGAGGGGGCACACGGCTCTTTTTTGAGCCAATGTGTCTCCTTTTCCTTAATCGATGTAGGGAGAGTTTCTCTGCCTACGTAGTTTTTCTTTTCTTTTCTTTTCTTAGCAAGAAGATCAAAGACTCTTTTTCAAGAGCCCTCCCAACTCACATCCATACTGCCCTCCAAAAATGAGCTTTGGTAACCCAAGAAAAAATGGCCTCCCCACTAGACCACGACCCACAATACCAGAATTATTGGAGTGCGGACTCCCGAGACTCTCTTTTTGGTGCCATGCATAGTGCCTTGTCATCCGAATTCACTGGCTTTTCAGTCTGTCATCCCATTCATGGCGAGGGAATAATGACCCAAGCTTTGCAACATGCCATTTACTCTGCCATTCTCAACACAGAAGCTACTGCTACATTCATGTTCCTCCCAACTTGGAATAAGG